AAAATGTATATCGATATATAATGAATTTACTATAAATATTATATATCTTTCTTTTTTCAAAAACTTGTTCGAAAAACTAATAGAGTTTTAAGTACAACTATGCCAGTGTTGGCAAATGACAAAGTCATAAAAATTTTTATAAAAATAAATATAAATGACATGTTCTTTTAAAATAACAATTGTCATTATCATAAAAATATATTATAATAAAAGTTGGCAAAATAACAAGTTCTAAAAATTAAATTTATAAATGACTTTATAATGACAATATTTATACTATTATTTTGGCATACTGAAACACTATAATATATTTTGCAGTTGTTATGTTTTGTATTAATCTATGAATTTTAAGCTCATTACTGTTACGATTTAATTTAGTAGTATAGCAAATAGAGATGTGTATCTGTTATCCGTTTAGATAACAGAATAAACTATATAAGAATATTATTGGGCAGCTACTTATAATCATGAATTTTATTTAAGAATATCATAAATTGCATACGTAACAGATAATTTAAGTATATTAGTTTAAAATGCATATCGATATACAATGAATTTACTATAAATATTATATATCTTTCTTTTTTCAAAAAACTTGTTCGAAAAACTAATAGAGTTTTAAGTACAACTATGCAACTATGTACTTGCACTTGTATATTATTTTTAGTTGTTTGAATACTATCTAATTATTTTGTTAAATATACTGTACTAAATCCATATCTAATTTTACTTATTAAATCAAGATTTAATTGCTATTTATTTGAGCTTGATCACTAATTTATATTGTTGTGTTAGTCTAATTCGTTTTATTTATTAATAATTATCTCAAGTTTAAAAATAGATTAAATATAGTCTAAGCCAGATAGTTTTTAAATTACTTTTCTTGCTAAGTTTTACGTAAAGTTCTGCAAGTGCTTAACATAATACTTTGAAACATAGTGCCAGTACCTGAACACTTGTAAACCTTAGTTACATGTAGTGTTCAGATCTGTTAAACTTACTATTCAGATTATCTAGATAATACCAGATACAGATTATTTTTTCATTTAACAGATAGTTTATCTGGATAATGTATATTATCCAGATCTGAATACTAGTTACATGCACAATTTTTTAGTATTAAAAATTTATTAGTATAGTTTTAGATAGATTAGTAAATATGTCAATAATTAATTATAAAACTTTTTTGCTTACCTTATTGTAAAGAAGAATTAATATGATATTTAAAAAAAATATTTTTTAATTATAGGGCTTTTCATAAATTTCAATAGATACATAAGGTAAATATATCTAAATTTAGACAAAGTTACAGAAAATTCAATGCAGTTTCAGTACGTAGTAAAATTCTATATAGGTTCAATATACCAGGCAGTTTCAAAATAATATAACAACAATAGTAAAATTCTATACGGTTTTAATATATCAGAATGATAGTAACGAAATTCTATGATAACAGAATAGTGGTGATTCAAAGTAATAGTACGTAAGATACTTGGAATAAAACTAAATAAAAGAATAGAATAGTTAGTTTTAAGAATTATAAAAGGATAAGAGGAATAATAAAGAAGACAAATTTTTGTCTGCTCAAAAAGTAAATAAGACTAAAAATTCTAAATAAAATAGAATAATTGTTTGTAAAACTGTCAATTCTACATCTTGAAGCTTCGTTAAGTAAGTTTAATTGTTGCCAAGTGACAGACTTGCTATTCACACTTCTTTTAATAGCTAATAATCGATTATTCTAATTTTCAGTATACTTGCAATAGGGCATAATCCTCATAAATGGTCTGTTTACTTTAAAATACTCAATGAATTAGCAAATAAAAGCAACAAAGTAGCTATATGTATTGTTTGTCAAGATACTTTAGACGATGAAGCAAAAAGACTAACAAACAAAGCAAATTTATGCTATAATCATTTAAAATCTTGTCCTTATTTTGCAATAAAATATACCAAAGAGGAGTTGGATGAGATTCTTGGATACTCTAATAAAGAACAAGAATCTAATACTAGTAATAGTGAGAGTGAAAAAGAGAGTTCTTCAAAAAAAGCAAAATGTAAGTTTTATATTAAAAGCTTGTTTTTTAACTCTAAATGTTTAGAAATGTCATATGACGTAGTTTAAAAGCTATTTTCTAAATATATAATCAATTTACTAAAATATGATAATTTAATAGCGGTTCAAGTAGATAAATCTTCTAAAAGAAAAAAACAAACAACAGTTAGTAAATATTTACATCACCTACTAACTGATAATATTCAACAACAATTTGAATGATATTTACTTCGAGGAACAATAGCTAATGGAATATCATTTAGATAAATAGAAGTTAAAGATATTATTGCAGCTTTTAAACTTGCTAATTCTGCAATCCAATTACCTTTACATCGCAAGCTAAGTAGATCTATTCTAAAAAAGAAAGTAAATATTGCAGAAGAACAGTTTGAAATTATGGCAAAAGATAATACTATTGGTATTACATTAGCATTTGACAGGTGGAAGAATGTAGTTAAACAGAAGATAATAGGAACTATACTAATTACTTCTAAGAGCAAAGTACTTGTATAGAATGCAAAGATATTAGTTCAGAAAGAAGTTATGCTATTAATATTAATATATTTATTAAAAAGTATATTAATGATTTAGCTATAAAAGGTATTAATGTTATTAGTATAGTTTCAGATTCTGCAGGTGAAAATGTTAGATTAATAGTATATAATTTAATTTGTTATTTTATTAATAAAACAATTACTATATTACACATTATAACTAATCATTTAATAATTTCTAATTTTTAATAGAAAAGAATTACGTACTCAATATACAAATATTGTATTTCTTCCTTGCTTTGCTCACTAAGCAAACTTATATATTGGTAATATTTTTAAATCTTCAGGACAATATAAAAAAGTATCAAATAAAGCTGTAAGAATTATTAGCTGCTTTAATAGGTCAACTTATCTATTAGGAAAACTTCGAGATCATCAGATGAATCTTTATCAAGGAAAAATTATCAATTTGTTATCACCTTGTAACACAAGATAGAATAGTTTTTACAACAGCTTTTATAGTATTTTAAAATCAAAAGGAGCTCTAACAGTAAGTTTAAATTATTATTAAATCTTAGTAAGATTACTAAGTAATTCTTTAAAGTACAAATAAGAGACCTTTACTTTTTATATACCGTATTATATCTAGTGTTTTAAATAGCATAGCTGAGTAAAAAATTCATTATGTATGTATATATGTACAAGTATTCTATTTAAAATACTAGCTATAATGCTAATTACTATTTTTGATACTTTAAGTTTAGTACTTCTGTTACATGTTGTAATTTTATTCTAATTTTTTTAATAGCTATAGCATTTATCTATTTACTGAAATAATATAAACGTTAATTCAGAAATTGTGACCTAAAAAAAATAATACGTATAATTAGTTTGATAATATCTATATATATTTAAAATAATATGTATCTTATTCTATGCTAAGTTTAACATAAAACGAATTCAGTTTATGCTAAGCTTAGTAATTATTTTATATGCTACACAAGTAGTTTATATAATAGGCTAATGCTTATTATTTTGAAATAACTCTATTAAACTATTAATTTTACATACGCCTCCAACTTATATTTCAACTTGCTAACTAATTTATTATTACTTATCTGTAGATACTCATAACTAGCTTAGAAAATTCAATGAACTCTAATAACAAAAAAATTCCAGAAGACATTGCTGATATAATTAATGATTCAATATTTTGGAAAAATTTAAAAGAGTTAGATGAACTACTCTTCTCATTTTGTACTGCACTAACAAACTCCAGTTTGAATCTGCATGCTTATATGATATTATGCATACTTATGTATGAATGGTAAGTACTATACAACAACAACCTAATTCACTATTTCGTATATATATGTTATCATGTTTAGAAAAATGTTGGGCCTAATGGGAATAGCTACTTCTTATTTTGTCTTTGCTACTCCATCCTGAATATGGGTTTAAAAAACTTAATATTAACTTAAGTGAGTTGTCAGCACTAGTGATGAGAAATTAGATAGTTTATTATTTTACCAATTGGTTTTCTACAAGACCTAAAACTATTTTAATAGAATTTGAAGATTTTTTGGCCAATAATTCTCCTTTCAATACAGTGCCATTTGGTCAATTTAATAGTGATATTATTAAGTATTGGACTTTTATTACACATAGAACACATAAAGAAATTGCAAATTTTGCACTCTGTTTATTTGGCATCTGTGTTAATAGTACATCAGTAGAAAGATTATTTTCAACTATGGGCTTTTTGCATAATAAACATAGAAATAGACTTGGAGTTTGTTTTTTTTTTTTTTTTTTTTTTTTTTTTTTTAATAATAGTAAACAAGTAACTTATTTATATTTATTTATAATATAAAAAAGTTCTTGAAATGAGTCAATTGCAGGATAAAATAATGCAAGAGCATAAGTTAAAAGTAAAAGAAAAATCAGCATCAGCAAAATATTTTCCTAATTCTGAAGAGTTATCTCAAGAATCAGATTTAGAGGATAAACAAGTAAATGCTGATAATAATAATATTGAATGGGAAGAGTTTATTACTAATTGGTCATCACTTCTAGCAAGTGAAGAATTTGAGGATTTTGAAGAAGACTTTATTGATATTATATATCCAGCTACTAATTTAGATGCCAAATGGCCTTTATTATAAATTTTTCAAGATAATATCGAACAACTAATATTTTGTAATTTGTTAATAAGTAGCGATAATAGATAGTATTAATAATAGATATTAATTCTATTAATTTTATTGGTTAATAAAAATCATATAATTTTATAAATGATTTGTCATAAATTTAAAATAATAAATAACTTTTTAGGACAAATCAGACTTGTCATATGACATGATATCATTTATTTTAAAATGACAATATGCCAATACTGCAAATTAATATATACAAACAAGACCTCTCTAAAAAAAAAGAAACTATAGTATATCAAGCTGACAAAAACTTAAGCCTAATAGAGAATATCAACAAAATTACAGTTTGGGATTTGTCAGTTTGGGCCAGAAAAACACAGGTGTTCGAAATAGTTCACTTTTTAGGAAGAGTAGAGTATATCAAAATGATTAAAAGTGCTTCAAACAAAACAAGAGCAGAAGTAGAATTTAAAACAGGAACCTTTGACAAAAAGAAAATAAATGAGATCTGGTGCCTGCTATTTGCAAACAAAATACTGGTAAGAATTTCAACAGGTACTAACAACTTCTCTTTACTTTGCACAAGAAATAAATTTAGCAAAAGGTTACTAGACCTGCTAGAAAATACAAATGAAGTACTTCTGTGGAGACAAATAAAAAGATCAGAAGCTAAAGTACTACATATTTTCAAGAACTCTAATAACAACAATATGAGAAGTGCAACAGTTTACTTTGAAAAAGAAGAAGACATGT